GATCATCTATCAGTCATGTGGTTCGGTTGTAGCCTTAATAGTCCCTAATTGATGTACAAACCATCGCATTGAAGATGGAGAAATGGCAACGTCACTAGATGACCGCCACACCTTACAGGCATAATTCAATTATAGGATCAGCCAGCAAAAATACACTCAATGGAGCACCCAAGTCGATCACACCCCGTACAGAGTGAGGAAAATGAGGAGATCACCAACACTCTAAAATCCATCCCAACAAAGAGGTACTTCAAGTGTCATGGTCTTTGACACATTGTGTCTAATTGTCCAAATAGAAGGGAGCAATAGTGGAGGAGGCTTAGAGTAAAATGGAAAGGAATACAAGTTGCCCACATATGAGCGAGAGATGCTAGTAATTCGATGTGTCCTTCAAACTAAGCCAACAAGAGAGCAATAGTGGTTGCACCCCAAATTTTGTATCCGCTAAACTGTGAAAAGAAATGTGTATAGCCTTATGATAGAAGGAGACAGTTTTAAAATTGTAGCATCAACACACATGGTGGATAAATTGAGTCCCACTACTCAAAAGCATTTCCAAGCATATTTTTTTGTCATGGTTGAAGAAATGAAATAAGATCTCAATTGAAAAGAGGTGTATCATGGAGTTTTCTATGGGAGAAAAGCAGTGAGATCAAGCTTAATATGATTTCGTGCCTATGGATGTGTGTCACATTTTTTTTGGGATAATCGTAGCAATATGACGGGTACATTTCATGATGGCCATGAAACACCTACTCGCTTAGCAAGGATAGAAAGCATATTATACTTTTGTCATTGGAGGAGTCAGTTGTGATGGGTACTCCGACCAAGACGGGAATTTTATCGTCTTGTACCGCATTTTTACAAACTATGAGAGGCGCCAATGAAACTGGCCTTAGTAATGCTAGAAAATTTGAGGCAATGCAATCCTCAGTAAAGAGTTTCAAGATTCTCTGATATTAAGTCTTCCTCCTAGGTTGTCACTATTGGGAACTACTCAACATGTCATCATTTCAGATAAATATGAGAATGTGTTAGGCTATTTCTGGAATGTTTTATGGAGTAAATTGGGTACTAAGTCCCAAATCAATTCAATAGTGTCATCACCAATAGACGGTCGGATAGGAGTAGTGTATTTCTACTTTGGAAATATATAGAAGTGTTTTATGGGAAAGAACACCAACAATAGAATTGATGTGTTTCTGAAGATGAGGATGAAGCCTCTCACACCCTGAGAGAGTGATGAGGGGGCATGAAAGTTCTCACGATACCGTCGTTTCCACAATTCGTGGCTTTGGCAAGTGCAAGAATGGCGGCATAAGCTGCCTGTTTTATTTTATTTATGAATTTTCAACCATTTTCCTTCCTTTGCTTCTTTGCTTCTTTCACCTTTCATATTTCTCTAATTTCTAATTAGGTCTTTGCTATGAGAGAAATTTTATATATGTGTATTAGAATATTTGAATTTTCAATTTTGTTGGGCTTATGAATTTGAGAGAAGTTTCTCTAAATTTTGCTCTCTAGAGTGATGTATCTTCTTCTGCAAGTGTTGAATTTGTATCTTGCTTAAGAACAAGCCGTCGAACCTCCTCTCCGCTTGAACGTCGCCATGCAGAATTTTCTCCGCTATTTGCAGGGGGGACAACCGCCAATGATGTCGAACATGCTGTCCAACAACAACTTTATGCCCATACTCCCTTTCAAACACTGTAACCCCCATATAATAGCCTTCCCTCACTATTCCACTCAACCACTTCTACACAAAATCAGCTTCCCAAATACTTTTTAGGAGTCCTGGAACAATATCAGTAGATTTTTCATCTCCTGTGCATAACAATAATGAAATTCTTTTACATGTATTATACATGTGAGAAATTAAAAATTGAAGAAAAAATATAAAAAAAATGTGCATATAAGGAAAAAAAACTAAAAGGGAATGTCAACATGACAAAGAAAAGCATCACCGTCAAAAAAAAAACTTGTATAGCTTTGAACTTTACACAATTATGTAGTTACGAGTGTTATGGTCCACCTTGTGTAATTTTAGAAATTGTACACCACAGTGTAAATGTTTTATTACTGACGTAAAAAGCTGTGTATATGCAGCAAAGCACAAAACAAGTCCATATAAGTTTAAACAATGGCCATGATTAACGCGGCCTAATGGAATGTTTTGAGAGACGACTTTCCCAACTCTAAGAAAAATGTTTTATAGGAAAACAAGTTTGGTATATTTTTGGGATACAATCGAAAGTGGATTCATTTGTAAGATTGCATATATTTGTGCAAAGTAGTTGGTATGATTCAAATTCCCGAACGACTTCCAAAGATATTAAAGAACAACTAGGCCAATAACCGATAGAATCCAAGGCATGAATTACCCCTAGCCTTTTCTAAACCAATCTATCAACACTAATAAAGCGATAACTTGAACCACCACAACGTACAAAAGCACAAATTGATTGTTCTTAGCCTTAATCAATAAACCCAAATAAACTTGCTAAGAGAAATTCCAAAAAATCTCATTAAATACTGAAAACTATTTGGCCTGGAAATTATTAAATCTGCTGAATCTTAATAAATTACTTGCCCTTTTATATGATTTAAATGAAAATGAAATCTAAATTCTAAAAGTTTAGGACTGTAAATCCCTACATTTTTTTAAATCCTACCTCCCTGAGGATTTACAAATCCTCTTAAAATCAAAAAATAGCACGAAATAGCATTTTACTTCAAAAAAAACATTTGGAAAAAATTTTCTTTCATTTATTTCAGATCCTACCTGAAACTGCATACCAAAAAACCCCTTAAAATTGAATTATTACTAAAAAAATGGAAGTGAAATGTTATTAGTAATCCCTTCATACTTGTTCTCCTTTCTAATTTAAATGTATTAATTTTATTAAATATTGCAAATGTGATAGGTTAGACTTAACGGTGGAATCTCTGCTTAGTTGACACAACAGTTATCATGAGCATTGTTGATGACCCAAACCAAGAAAATAAATTAAATAGCAATGCTATGATGTTTATAATCATAAAATTTAATATCACTATGATGAATCGGATTTACTCGAGAACATTCATTCTAGGATGTTTAATCGAAAAAATAGCAATAATGTCCAACATAGAAGCAATTAAGAAGAACAAGGAAGAACAAGAATAGATTTGTAAGCATACACATTGTGATTTGAAAGAAAATATTCAAGACTCGACAATGGAAAAGCAATAAAGCTTCAATATAATCGACGTCCACCACAGGACATTGTCAACTCCTTAAAGTTCGACATTGTATAAAAATTCTGGAGGCCGTAGCATGAAAAAGCACATTAGTGAATTAATGAATATTTGTTGAGCTAAAAGCAAGTAATCATTAATTCATCCATGAACAACAAGTTTAATGTGTAATTTGAACACTGCAAAAATCACATGACCATTTTTGTATTAATCATACTTTAATGATAGATTAAATTACGTATATAACATTGATATTTTAGTATTTACAAACATAGCACGCATGTTATATTTTTGTATTACTAAGCTCATATAACTGCAACTACCATGATCAAATTGTTGAGAAATTGACAAAAGAGAAAGATAATAGTTGGAGTTTTCTTGTGAATTTTGATATATCAAAGAGGATTTGAAATTTTGATAGAAGAATGTTAGTTGTGCAAAATAGAAAAGATTTGAGCGCTATGTATGTTATTGATCCTGGAGGATAATATCAAGACCTCTGAAGATGTCACTCATCAAACTAAGCTTAATTTGGAATTTCGTAATTTGAACACTGCCAAAATCACATGAACATTTTCGTAGTAATCATAATTTAATGTAGGTTAAATTACGTATATAACATTCATATATTTACTATTTACAAACCTAGCACGCATGTTATATTTTTGTATTACTAAGCTCATATAACTGCAACTACCATGATTAAATTGTTGAGAAAATGACAAAAGAGAAAGATAATAGTTGGAGTTTTCTTGTGAATTTTGATATATCAAAGAGGATTTGAAAATTGGATAGGAGAATGTTAGTTGAGCAAAATAGAAAAGATTTGAGTGCTATGTATGTTATTGCTCCTGGAGGATAATATCAAGACCTTTGAAAAAGTCACTCATCATGCTAAACTTAATTTGGAATGTCATATGGTTAAGGGTTCAAGTGAGGCCTGTATGATCAATATGAGTAAATACAAAGTTTGACATTAAACGCATAAGTGAACTGAAAAAAAAACAAATGGTTCAAAAAATTTGGTGAAATTTCCAAAGATTTGAATAAAAATAACAAGTGAGGAATATGTGTTAAATGCAGCCAAATTCAACAGCAAAAATTGGTAAATGTTACATTGCAGTTAGAGGGACCACTTCAATCATGGTGCAGTGAATCAAATTCATGCCCTTAAAAAGACCAATTAACTCAAGGTCCTTCATAGGATCTCATCAATTATCAATCAAACAGACATAGAAAGATGTCATTTAAAAACAACACAACTATTGGTATGCTTAACATTAGATCCTACAAGTTTGTCTCATGAGTAGAATAAATATTATAATTATGCTCCCAAACTGTAAGAGAATCTTATTTAGCATTCTCAATTACATTGCAAACACTAGTGTGAAATTTTAAATTATGGATCTCGATATATGTATGTTAAATCAAACATTGCTACGTTATTAAATTGAGCAGAATAATCACAATCTTCTTATCTCACATCACCTTGTAAACTAGTCTGTAAAGTTTTGAGATACCATACAAGATTCAGACATATAGATGAGAATAAACTGAACAAACTTGTGGGAGATCAACTATTAGGTCATTCCACATGTCTATTATCACCAACCTAGTAACCAACAAAACAGCTACATAACATCCAGCAACAACACGACAACCATAAGCGGAAAAATTCAGCAGAAAAGGGCTAAGGTTCGATCAAGCAAATGGATGTGAGAGCGGAAATCTAGAGAAAATGAAAGAGCTAAAATGGGGCTCACAGTGCTCCGACGCCGCTCGGCGGCGATGGCAAAGCCGAAGGCCGTGAGGCTAAGAACCACCACGAGAATGTGGACGAGCGTCGAGCTCTTCCCCTCTCCCATTAGTCACTTCTCGTAGCTTCGCCTCTCGCACACTGTTAGTCTGAGCAAGAATGTGGAAAGAGAGTAAAGTGATGGAGGAAGAGAAAAGGTGGAACGCAAACCCGGGGCACAGCTTTTCGAAAGACGAGCCCGTAATTGCCCAAGGGATTCCACTTAATTACGATATGCCACTGCCAAGCTATGCATCGCTGTAAACGTGTTCCCACCTGCACTATCATTTGCTCTCTCAAGCATTCGAACAAGCGGGAAGCTTTGTATTTTCTCGTCATTTCTAATTATGCGCCTAAATAAATTTATAATAAATATCATAATTTTTTTTAGTATCAGATTATTATTCAATAATTTTACAGATATTTTTTAATTAGCTGTAGCTAGGGCTGTCAAAACTGTTCGTTGTTTGCTAACAACTCGTGTTCGACTCTTTAAGAAGCTCATGCTCGGAACATGAACAACACAAACAAATGTTTGTTCGTGTTCGGCTCGTTTTTGCTCGAAATGCTCATGCTCGGAACATGAACAACACAAACAAATATTTGTTCGTGTTCGGCTTGTTTTGACTCAAAATACTACTAATCAATTGTATAGATATCTTTGATGAGTCGTATTTTAAAAAAAATTAATTGACTACAAGACTACAAAGATTTATAATCAATTAAAAGTTTAATGAAAAAAATACAATAAAAATTATTAAATTAGATTCAAATGACGTTTTAAATCTTTTCTCAATCCTTAACATCTTATGACTTCGCGAGCTCAAAATATAAACGAGCCGCTCGCTCGTGTTCGGCTCGTTTACACCCCTAGCTGTAGCTGTCTCAAATAGACTCTAAGGCTTCCTTTCAAAACACATGTATCGAATCGAATAAGAGGAGACATTAATCTCCTTTTATTTCTTCTCAATCCTTAACATCTTATGACTTCGCGATTAGGGTTTTCAAAACGACTCTTTGTTCGTGACGGCTCGTGTTCGGCTTGTTAAGCAAACGAGCCGAACAAGAACAATTTTTGAGCTAGAAATATAAACGAGTTGAACACGAGCTGAGACTGCGCTCACTCGTGTTCGACTCGTTTACACTCCTACTATCTTGAATGCAAGCTATTTGGATCGAATAAGAGGAGACATTAATCTCCTTTTATTTCACCAAACTGTTGCTATCATCCGAGCCTCCAGCACTCCTAATGTCCCTATCAATTCGAGTGTCACTTCCTTAAGTTCAACTGTGTCAGAGGGGATTCGAAGCCCCGACCCGAGGGGTCTTACAACGAGAATGTAAACCAACAGATCGAGGTATGCGACACTATCTAATCACTTGTATATATATTGATTATTATACTGATTATTTAAAAACTATAATAAAATTGTTCTCAAAATTCATTTATATTATTAAATGTGAGATTTGGGGCATTATTGGGGATAAAAGATGTACAAGTTGGCTTAAATTCAATAAAATATATGACATTTTACCTAAATTAACTGAATTAAAGAGAAAATTACAAATTTGTCAAAACTCCATTTATCAGCTATTACCCATATATTTATAAGTTATTAATATAAATATATGTAAGATATGCAAACTTTTCTCTTAATCAAGCATTAATCTCGACTCACATTGAGATAAAATTTTATGGTATTTAAATAAATAATTATCGTCATTCGAGTTTATTATCAAATGAAATGCCACGGCTAGATGAATCAAATGACTTCAAAATTGATTTGATGTGAATCCAACTCTTTGGGACATACATTGAAGAATTAAATGATACTAAAAATTGTAAGTTTATGATCGAATCGAACGTTTCCAACAGCTCGATTCTCTCAAGTTTGATATCATTAAGAGTGTGTTTATTTCAGCTGCGACTGTATGAAATCTCAGTCCCAAAGTTGCTATAGAAAATCAATTAATTAGCTTGAATAATTTTGGTTTTAAAAGTGTTGCCTATAAAAAAAATGCCTGAAATAGCTCTTATCAGCACCCACGCCACTCTTGGGTTATCAGTCGCGGTCGCGGGAGAGAAGCAAACTAATTTCAAAATAAATTTAATGATGATAAAATTATTTATATTATGAATACATGATTAATTATTTATATTAATATCAAAATAAATTTAATGAGCTTAAAATTATTTTTAACTATAAATTACAATGACTCGAATTTTATACTTTCTAAAAAAATTTAACTTTAATGCCTCGTGAAACATAAAATTGATCGGTTATATTTGATATGTGCTGGAAAATTTATGGTTATAGAGTGATGGATTATCGTCTTAGTGTTGCATAAGAATACAACATACACTCGGATAAAAGCAAACAACCATTAGTGAAACCAAAAGTTTTTAAGTGAAAAACTCGTTAACGGAAAAAACTATGGGGTTTGACCCAATTGTGAAAATTCACTGTAAGTCGATGATTACAACGACCTCTTGTCCCACATATGAGAAAGGGGTACAAAGTATTATGAATTACAACGTCGACATGAGAATGAACTTGTTGTAAGTGAGTGGTTGTCAATGGAGATCGAGGATGACCGACAAGTGGTGGTGGGTGGTGGGTGGTGGTCGAATATGATGGATGACAGTCAACGATGGTCAATGACGGTCAGAAAATCGATTAGGTCGAACGATACCAGATGGCCAGTTAAATCCGCTTCATGTGGACAATCAAAACCCACAACACCTAGTAAAAAGTACTCATAACGTTGGCTAAGAAAGAAAACACAAGGGTTTGAGAGAATCTTTCCGCCACGAAAGTTGAAGACGCATTCTCTTTGCTTATTCTTGCTTCGACGTAGCTCCGAAGATGCTCCAATGAGGTCCAAAGTTTCACTCCTTCCTCATAGGATGAAAAAGACCACCCATAGAAAATGATTCTGAAAAAGTTATACCGAAATTTGAACTCCATTGAAGTTTCTGGCAAAGCTTTCGGTAATCCCTCTTAGCCTCTCTCATTGAGGAAGATGGAGTCTCCCTCTCTTGCTCCAAGCTCTCAAGCCTCTAGTACGAAGAAGAAGATCCTTGAGGATGAACATGGTGTTCTCCCTCTAGCACGCTCAAACTCTCCAAATGCTCTCCTTAGCTCTAGCAAGAAGCCTCCCAACAAAGGGAAGAAAGGAAAAAAAATGATCGAAAAAAATTTGAAGGAAGAAGAAGAAGGATTTCTTCTTTGCTTGAGCTCCTCAAGAAATCTCTCTTCCTATTCTCAAGAGCCTCCCTTCCTCGATTTAAAAGTAGTGGATAGTCCCAAAATGAGCTGCCTTCCTCCTTTTTAGCTTGATTTGTCACGCCAACCAAGCTTCCCGCATGGTCTCTTCACCTGTCTGATCTCTCTACTCGACACTAGAGCTGTCAAAAAAGCTCGTTGTTCGCAAACAGTTCGTATTCGGCTCGTCGGGGAGTTCGTATTCGATTTGTTTGATAAGCAAATGAGACAAATGCGAAACAATTTTTTTTTGTTCGGTTTATAAACATATCAAGCACGAACAGTCATTCGGCTCGTCGGGGAGTTCGTATTCGATTTGTTTGATAAGCAAATGAGACAAATGCGAACAATTTTTTTTTGTAAAAAAATTTTTCGTTCGGTTTATAAACATATCAAGCACGAACAGTCATTTGTTCGATCGTATTTGAATTGTTATTGTTCAAAATATAAAATAATTTAAAATAATTATATATAAAAAATTTATCATATTTTAAAATAAAATAAAAAAATTTATCAAAATTTAAAAAATTAAATCCTATAAATTATGATCTGATCTTCCAATTCGCCTCTTAGTTTATATTAAATTCTATAATTTCATATTTATCTTCATGTTCGTCTCTTAGCTTAAATTTTCTTATATTTTTGTTTTAGATTTATTTAGTTTCTTTGAGTTAAACATAGTTTTTTTTAGTGAAATATTGCATATTGCCTCTAGATCTGACTTTTTTTATGTATGATATATGATATTATGGTTTTATTGTGGGTTGTACTTCAACTATTTTGCATTTGTGTTGTGATTCATGCAAGTTTAAGCATTAATTACATATAGGTTTAAGATTTTGAAATATTTCGAACAATAAAAATAAATTTGTAAGATTTTAAATAGTTCAAACAATTTGAATAATTCGAATATTTCAAACATTTTTCAAACAAATCAAACTGAACACGAACAATAACTTCACAAACAATATCAAACACACGTAATTTCAAACGAACCGAACACGAACATGAGCTTTGTTCATTCGTGTTCAGTTTGTTTACACCCATACTCGACACAGCTTGGGGAAACATCTCCCTGCATGGAAATGGCATAATTTGGTGTGATCTCCCCTGAATTTGCCTTGACCCATTCCATGCTTCATGGGAAATATGCAAAGTTTCCCTGCTATGGTCACCTCTATCTGGCGTGAAACGAGCTGTGTGAAATGGTGGTGTTTAATGAAAGGCGAGATGTCTGAGCCCGTATGCGGTTTGAACATTTAGTTGGGTGCCTCAACTCCTCCCTCTCTATCTGGGATCATTTCTTGAGAAGTTTCAACACCTATGCACTAATTGGGGGCGCCAAAAATGGGCTTCGATGCTTATGTGCCAAAATGGGGGGCACATATGCACCCACTCTTGCTTAATTGCACCCTTTAAGGGCTCTTGGCGCCTATGTGCCACAATAATAATAAAAAAAACTTTTGTTCTTGATTCTTTCACATGGTGGATTCTTATGGGTCATCTGACCATCATAAAACATCAAGGGATGAGAATAGACCTTGATTTTTCAAACAAATCAAACCGAACATGAACAATAAATTCACAAACAATTTTAAACACAAACTCATTTCAAACACACGTAATTTCGAACAAACCAAACACGAACATGAGCTTTCTTCTTTCGTGTTCAGTTCGTTTACACCCATACTCGACACAGCATGGGGAAGCATCTCCTTGCATGGAAATGACATAATTTGGTGTGATCTCCCCTTAATTTGCCTTGACCAATTCCATAAGCTTCATGGGAAACATGCAAAGTTTCCCTGATATGGTCACCTCTATTTGACGTGAAACGAGTTGAAATAGTGTGAAATGGTGGTGTTTAATGAAATGTGAGATGTCTGGGCCCGTATGCGGTTTGAACATTTAGTTGGGTGCCTCAGCGCCTCCCTCTCTATCTGGGATCATTTCTTGAGAAGTTTCAACAACTATGCACTAATTGAGGGAGCTAAAAATGGGCTTTGGTGCTTATGCGCCAAAATGGGGGGGCACATATGCACCCACTCTTGCTTAATTGCACCCTTTAAGGGCTCTTGGCGCCTATGTGCCACAATAAATAATAAAAAAAAGCTTTGTTCTTGATTCTTTCACATGGTGGATTCTTATGGGTCATCTGACCATCATAAAACATCAAGGGATGAGAATAGACCTTGATTTTTCAAACAAATCAAACCGAACATGAACAATAAATTCACAAACAATTTTAAACACAAACTCATTTAAAATTCAATTTTTCACCTGAATGTCCGTAAGATGATTTTAATCGGCCCGAACACTACGGAGATTCATGTATCACTCAAATAAGACTCCGTATATCAAAATGAACATTATGAAGGTGTGAAATTGGGAATTTTGGTGCCAACTAACATCTTGAACCCCAGCGTTGGTAGACCGGTCTAAAACTCAAATTTTCCCAAAATGCACGAGGGAGAGTCGATGGCTTCCCTTGGCCGCCACAAGCTCCAAATAGGCGAGATATGGACTCTAAAGCATCATAATGGACATTAAGCATGTCTCGTGTCAAAATTTACATCGCCCCACGGTGAATTATTCCGAGTATGGTTGAATTGATACCCATCATGATTCTATGTTTGAGGCACGAACCAAGATGTTCTATTGGATGTCTTTGACTGCGAGAAACTGAATACAACCACGTATCATTTGCGTGGACATCCCGAGCATACTACATCAGAAATTGATGCTAACCAATAATATTTGGAAAGTAAATAGGAGGTGATTTGTTAGTCCTCGATATAATAGAATAAGTGATCTTTCTACCACCATTAACTAAGGAATAATCAATTTTATGACATGGAAGGCTTTGCCATTTAGTTGAAAAAAGCTTAAATATTCTTATCTCCAAAGATAAAATTGTAAATTTTAAATAAATTAAATATACATTTATAAATATTATGTTTTAAGGATTGAGCTGCCAACTATTTGAAAATGGTGCTTCAAATTATAAAAGAATCATCCAAAAAATCATCCACCACGAAGTTTAAACAACACCAATATCTATCTGAATAGCAGACCCGAAATATATTATTAACCACCACATTTAAGAAAATAGAGTGATCTTAAGAGGAAGAGGATGAATCAAAATTTAAACAATAGCTCCACCCAAAATAAAGGAAATCAACAAAAGTGAAGTTGACATCCAACAACAAAATAAAACTCCACAATCAGGTAATGTGAACTAAATTTAATCCAAGACTATAAAATGTCAAATCCTAAAATAGAGTCATCAACATCCATTGAGTGAGGAATGAGAAAGATTCGTTCCGATAACCAGAAGCTAATAAGTCGGGCGTACTAAGAATATCATTAAGGATCCAATCAAGAATAACCACATCTTAGAGAAGTAAGTAAAGAGGATAATGCAAATTTCTGGAAAACACTTACCTAGGAATAACATTGTAACATTATCTAGATAAGGTGAAGTATTGCCAAACAAATTACATTTCGAAAAAAATAACTTCAATAATGGATGAGTATCTATGAATTAAAATAAACATAGAACTTCAAACAAAATACGAGTAAGAAAATATATAAATCAAACATATATGTTGAGTCCCAATGTGACAATTTACTATTATCGTATCTCAAAAAAAGAGTGGGAGAAAAAACAAGAAAGGAAAGTGTATTATTCAATACAAAATCAAATCTTTCAAGATAAAGCAATTAGAAACTAATGATCCATCACCAAAGTAATTCAATAAATTGAAAAAAAGCATTTAGTAATCCATATACATGGTAGTAAGGCTTTAGTCTAAATAAGATCCAAAACCATCCAATAAAATTTGAACAACTATAACCTTATAAGACAAAAAAACTCATAGAGAAACCAACATACGACAACAAAAAAACTTATATGGCTGAGGATAAAGGACAAAAATCCAATCTAGAACTACAAGAGAATACCAAATCTAAAAAAGTGCCAACAACATCCACTATTTTAATCAATGCGCCCCATCCATATGTGATAAAATATATCCAAAAAATCTTATTTTGCAAGATTTGAAGTAAATTAACATATGACTATCATCTAAAATTTGAAATAAGTCAAATAAAATATGAGTAAGGTATACACAAATCCAAACAGTAGACTTCCAAAGAGGATGCAGAAAAATAACAAAGCTTGAATATAACGAGAGACAAAGACAAGTAAAGAAGGCAAAGAGAAGAAAAATAGAGATAAAAAGAGCAACACAATCAAAGACCAACAAAAAACGTAAAAAAAAAAGATAAAAATTCCTTTTGAAATCAGGAACAACTATTTTAAATTCCATTTTTTTGTTATTATAAATAATCATCTACTGAATATAATGATTATGTACATCAACAGAGGAATAATTATTCTTGAAAATCTTGAAGTTCCTCAAAAGCAAAATATAGTAAGTTGTAACTTGCATGGCTAGAAGATAGTTTCACTTTTTTTTAATTTGTAAGAAATGCTATCATAATGATATAATACTTTAAAAACGTTGCTTAGAGCAATAATAAAGTTGTCGTTAGAAACACATCTATTAAAAAGAGCATGAGAAAATTAATATATAAAAAATAAATAGCCCTGAAATTCAATTCTACTAAAACATAAAACAAATAAAATGTTAATAATAACCCCTTAAAATAAATAATATCAGAAGTTTTCAAACCATTATGTGTAATTTTTCAAATACGAAAAATAAACTTTATAAAATATATTTTACACCACAACAGTTTAAATGGGCTAACACTTAGAAAGACTTCATGTAAGAGAAATAAAACAACTTTACTAGCATAAATATGTTTATTATTCAAGCATGCAAATAGCACTATTGTTAATAGGAATATTGCAATTAAGACATAAAGAAGACATGAACATTAATGTTATGAGATAAATTCCAAACACCATTAGAGAAATAATAACACCAAGTTTGATATTATTAGGAAGGTCAAACCAAAATGAATATAAAGTCATCAAAATGCTCTCTCAAAGTATGGCCATAAAACAAAGGATCATAATAGGGCCATAGATGACCATCATTATTAACATTAAAAGATTAAAAAAAATTAAATATTTTTAGCAACTTTCCTAATATATTTCCAAAAAGAAGTAGATGAAGTTTGAGAATCATTTCAAATGGAACAATTATGACAACAAACTTCTTGATAAATAAGAATTAAAATTGTAAAATTTTTATATAAATTTATATTTACACATAATATTAATAGTATCTAAAGAAGGAAGCCTAAGACTACCATTATGTATAGTCAAAGTAAGTTTATTCCACGCAATAATATGAAATCATGATCATTATAATGAAGTAAATTAAAAAATCATAGAACTCATTTTCCAAAACATTGAAACAAAATCAATAATAAATGTTAGTTTTGTGTGTTGAAGTTATTCATCGCCACATAAGCCACGTGAGATGACTACTATATATATATAATGAGTTTCAAACATGAAATCTTTCCATGCAAAAAATAATATCATGCAACAATTTATGACAGGCACATCAGCATTGCGTACCCCGACATGTTGGTTGACATTCACGATGTAAGACCCCTCAGATCAGAGATTTGAATCTCCTCTGGCATAGTTGACTGTAGTACTCGAATTGTTAGACACGTTACGTAAATATATAATAATATTTAATATGCGGTACTCAAATTGAAGTGACCTTTAATAATATTTGATCATTCCTTTGAATAATTTACACGTGGTTATCGTACAAACTTCGACCATCGCAAAAGCTTTTGAATAACTATTTATTTATTTTCTTCTCAACTTTTTCTTTTTTCTTTTCCTACGAGCATCGAATCGGACGGCGCAGATGCGAGTGCATCTCAAGCTTCTATCAATCAACGGTCTACACAACGCCACGTCACAGTTAAGTCGTTCCCGGACGTTTCCCCGAGTGATAACTGAAGCGGGGTTTCGACCAACGAGGCGAACGATGGATTCTCTCGACGAAGAGCGCAGCGGAGAGATAACAGAGATTATGGCTCCGGCGATCGCCGGAGAAAATGGGGACGCTGGTTCATCGGAGACTTCGTGGCGTATTAACGTGAACAGTTATCAGTTGCCGGAGGGGGCGAGCGGCCGGGGAGAGCAGACCTTGGTTTCTCGGGTATTCAGTGCTTCTATGGGTATGAATGCGGTATTTCTGTTTGAAATCGTTTCTTAGATTTATATATTTACTGTAATTTTTTCAAAATACTTCTATTCTTTGCATCGGTTTTTTATTGTTCTTTACCGATCGGTAACCATTTTTGTTCTGGAAGCGAAGTTTGTGTTATGTGCGGATCGTCCGGTTGGGTTTCTTAAGTTCTATTTATTGGAAATAAAATTTTGTGAGGAAGTTGACGCGATTACGATTATGATGGGCTGAAAAAATTGATATGCTATCGTGTATTGTTCTTCTTTGATTTGAATAAAATAAGAAGAGGTTTGAACTGTGAAACTCTGAATAATATATTGTTACGATTTTTAATACTTAGCAAATATTTTCATGAATCTATATCTTATCTATGAAATTATATGATTATTCTTGTATTGTTTATCAATTAAAATCAGATGATTTATAGTTTGTTGAAATATCATAAGAAAATTTTGGGACGAGAATGGAGTCAGAATATCTTAACGTTTTTGTTTTTCTTTCTTTTTTGGTTTGAAGACAAAAGACATAAGAAAATGATGATTCGCTCTTTTTTTATTCGCTTGGGGTGGAGGGAGAATTATTTTCGTGTAAAGCATATAATACTTTATTAGTCTTCCTAAACTGGCAAAAGAGTTAAATCTTGAATGTGACAGTAAGGTCTTAGAGAACCATACGTTGGTTGCTTAGATAAGACGTGAAATAAGTTTGTCTCTCCTTGATTTTTAACAAGAATTTTCTTTTTTCTGACTTAAGTGGCTCATTTTCAAGCAGAAAACTATTATAGTTGGAGGAAACTGTGAAGCCAAGTAAGTGGGGCGACTTGCGATTTGATTGAAAGGGAAAAAAAGGTTTTGAAAACCAGATTGGACATTGAACCGAAATAATGAAATGTTTAAAGTTCAATGGTTTAGTCGGGGTTAAATCGGGGTTGAATTGAATGATGTAATAAATATTATAATAATTTCTCTAATTTAACATGCAATATTTTTATTCAAGGTATTTTTATCTTGAAAATTTTTAATATGAATTTAAATTAAATTTTTGATATATAGTATTTTAATTATTTTATTTGTAATCATTCGAACCTCAAAGATCCAAAAATTGATCAATACTAGAACCAAACATAGTTCTTTAAAAAATTTGTCTTGTTCATCAATCGGTTTAACTGCTAGTTTTGATTGTTTTTTTACATAAGTGATTTTGAGTTTTAGAGGCTTTAGACCAAACCAACTGGAGGACCCAATTTTTATGGTTGAACCACTCAGACTCGTTGGTCTGACCCAATTTTTAAAACCAAGAGGGAAAAGTTGAAGTATTCTACTAATGAAAATTAAGTTTTAGACCAAACCAACTAGAGGACTATTTCATGGTTGAACCACTCAGACTCATTGGTCCGACCCAATTTTTAAAATCACGAGGGAAAAGTTGAAGTATTCTACTAATGAAAATTATATATATAGGATTCTTATCCACATTATTTTGATTTCATATGCTCTAAAGCACTTTGAAGTAGTTAAATAAGGGCTTTATCTCTTTGCGAAACACTAACATCATTGCACATTAGTGCATATACGTAATACAATATATTATACTTATATAAAGATTTTATACATGATATATATTTATAATTTAATTTATTATATGCTAAACTACTATTTATTATTTTAGTACTCAATGTGCTATATTTTTAAATAAAATTATAGTTATGATCAGAAAATTCTTATTTTTTGAAGTATGACTTTTAATGTGAATCAATTAACTTAAATATGAGAACCAGACAATATATAATGCATCATGTTGAATGGGTGGGACTCATTGACCACTTTAATTTGGGTCTCTGAATTGGCAAGTCCAATCCAATTAACCCCTTAAAAACTTGACCAGGTCATCCTTTTCCATCTTAATTGTGCCAACTTACCCTTTACATGTGGCTCTAAACCACATGCTATTCATACTAGATTTTGATTAAGAACTTGGTTAGAGAGATACTTATGGAGACTAATACAATAAATAAAGAATAAAAACACCAAGATTTAGTAGCAAAAAAGTTTCTTTTTTCACTTAAATAGAATTGGCATTACAAATCCATCCCGAAAATTTTTAGGCATACCCCTCACCTAAGTCTTATTTTCAGTAAAGGATTCAAATTTCTATGGTTGCATTGGGAAAACATCATTCATCTTCTCTTTGAATCTCTTCTTTGATATGCTCTTACCAATTAAGAAGCTCATGATTTAAGGAAGAGATATGTCTCCCGGGATCAAAATGGTTAGTAATATCCACAAATTTATTGTAATTGATGATTTAAATATTTTTTTAATCTAAGAATTGTTTGTTAGGAGAGTTCAATTTGTTGTGTATGCGGAGGGTTCTATTTCAGTGTGGATACATGCCCTCTAAAGATTGGACACTTTTTATGCTTTTTTGTTTATGGGATGACTCTCTAAGATAAAGTATAGCATTAGCAAACTGGATTCTGGATAAGAGAACTTTGTTGTTTGTACCAATCTTTAAGGTCATGAGAATTCTGGTAAAATGATTTGAGTTGTGAGGAGAGACAAGTTGGCATTTCGAATTTGAGAAGAGCTCACTATTTGCACAATGCTTTACACTTCTCCTACATCAGGCTTTAGGCTTGTCACAAGAAAAGAACCCTTAGTCATGTTATCAAAATTAAATTGGAAGTTAATCGGTTGGCTCCCAGGATTTTACATTAGTTGCATTTTTTTATTATTTGAGTTTCAATCAAATTTGAGAACATCTTTATAATATTCAAACGATCTCAATATGATGTAAGTTGTAGTTTCTTTGATGATTTATGCATGGGTTGCTATTCTTTTCACAGTGCCAATAGATCACCGTTACTTTGTAGTTAGACTCAAAGTCTATCATGAACACTTTTCAAAATGAAAAAAGATTACTTTTAATATGGAAAATTTTACATCTATCATTTTTACTTGTATTTGTTAATCCATTTTTGAAATGAAATATAATTAAACAAGTCTTATAATGATTTTTCTTGGTAAAGCAACTCGCTTTCACCAAATCAAAGTGGTGGAAACAATAACTAGTTATTGATGTTTCGTCGAGACTTCTTTAAAAGTTCAATTCAAAAGGAAATAGGATGCTCAATTTAAAAGGAAATACTTAAGTGACTTGGTTTCATTGGAAACGAACATTCAATAAATCAAATAAGAGTTTGAGGATTACGAAGACTGCTACTGTTGTGTACACTAATGACCAATCACCTTGAAGAAAAAGGAAGCCTAGTGTCACCTCCCAAAAAAGCTCTTAGGGATGGTGGGCAGCCCAAGACTTAAATACTGCTTTTCGGCCCTACACCTAGTCGATGTGGGATTTTTTGTCCGTGACATTCTCTTCCACCCAATCATGTGGCGCCCTCGTCACAGATCGGCTCCACCGAGTGTCCCATTGGACCATGGAGAGTTCACATACCTGGCAGACAGTAATTTGTTCTGATACCACGTGTCACCTCTCAAAAGAGATTTTAGGGGTGGTAGGCAACCCAGGACTTAAATACTGTTTTTAGGCCCTATATTTAGCCTATGTGAGACTTTTTGTCCGTGACTCTAGGTTCGATTATACTGTATGCAATAAGCTTTAGAGACTAGGGTAAAACTTATATAGGGAATTTACATACATGCCACAAAATTCTTATGTATTTACATATCTAACATATAAACATTCATATTTACATGTATACCACTCAAATATACCACTCAAATCATCATTAAAAATACCACTATCGCTACTTTTTTAAATGGGAATTACACCTTTAATGCTTAGGTTTATGACTCCATGGTGTTATAAGTGTAAATGAATTGTGTGGCACATGTTAATTTTGTAACTTGTATCCTATAATCATTTTGTGAAAATGAAATTTTTTTTTGAGATAATTAATTTAATCGTGCTTAGGCATAAAGTAGGCCAACCATCATGCTGAGCTTACTTTGTTGCATATCTGAGTTGGGAAACTGGAGTCAGCTCTTCAAGTTAACATTTCCTAAATGGTGTCATTTATGTCATGATTATTTGAGCTAATTTGCTTAATGTATAATGTCAGACTTCTAGTTATTTCATTATGATAGCTAATATCATCCCATTATCATTTCACTTGCAATGAAGTATTTTATTATTTTATGTGATGTTATGTATTATCATTTTTAGGCCATTTTTCTAACAAACTCTGGGTTAAGTCGGCTTCTTTTACTTCCAAATACATAATTTTTTTAGGCTCATTATACTTTAGATTTTTACCCCAATAATTGTCCTAAATATAAACAATAAGATCGGTCACACAAATTTGAAAAGCTCTATCACAAAGAATGTGAAGAGTACATTATGTTGATGATATTTCCAGCTTATGAAGCTATTGCTCTATGTTTTACTCTTGACTTTCTGGAGACCTTTGATAATTGCTGTGTCTGTCAATTTTAAATGAGGAAAGAAAAATGGAGTTACTGAAATTAGCATAGATAAGAATGATATATCAAGGGGCCATTCGGGATCACCTTTGTTTTTTGGTTTTTTAATTTTTTATTTTTATTTTATTTTTTTTATGTTTTGATTTAAATTAAAACATATTTGATTGAGACAGTTGTTTTAAAACACCCGTAACATCTTTTAGTTATTTTCAATGTTTTTATAAACAACTTGATTTATTTTTAAAAAAATTAAAAATTTTTAAAAATGAAAATATCTAAACATTATGCCAACAAAATACGTTTTCAAAACCAAAAATATTTGAGTTGAATCCATTTTATTAATGAAGACGTGCAAAAGAATTCATATTGATGTTTTAAACCCTGAAAAACTCGAAGGTTGTGTGAATTTCTTATCATGCTTATCAAGTATTATTTTTTTCTTGTGCGTGCCCTCTTTAATGTCCTTTAGAATGCTTATTCAGTGCTAAGTATTATCCTTTTTAGTTTAATTTGATTCATTTAATACTCACCATTCCTTTCATTCCCAGGAAAGGAAAGTCGAGTTGCAAAATATTATCATAAACAGGAGAAGCTTCTTAAAGATTTTACTGAAATGGAAAGCATTAATGAGTTGGGTTGTTTAGAAGGTGCTCCAACGGAGGTATGTTAAGAAATGTGCTGAACTTTAGGTAATCCAATATATCTCACAGGATATTTGGCTTTTCCTTCAATATTTCAATGTAAATATGTCTTTTTCGTGGGAAATCATGTATTTTGTGTAAACTATTTATTCACTGGAGATTTAGGATTATTTTGGGGCAACTGGAGTTTTTATAGTGGCAGCTGCAGTCTTTTATAGCGGCGGTTGTAAATTTGTTTTGGAGAAAACATTTTTTTGAACGTTGCTATAGGAATTATAAATATTCTCATTTTTTCTTTTTAAATTCAACAATATCTTTCTTACAGTTATTCATACTTTAATAGTTTTGATTGTGAAAAAAAGCTTCCAACAACAAAAATTTCTAAAAAGCCAATAAGAAAGTGATGGCCAAATGGATTTGTTACTCTAATATGAAAAACAAAGCAGTGATAAAGCCGCCCCAAATAGAACGTTCTTGATTAAGTTTGGGTTGATAAAGCAACTTTTAAAAAATGACTGGGTCTATTTGAAATGGTTGCAATTTTTTGTAAAAGATGATTGTAAAACTGTGTGAGAAAAATAATTACTTAGAAAGCTACGGCTTGAATTATAAATATTTAACTTTCTCCGAAAAGTTAGAAAGTAATTTTCTTACAATTACCTCACCTTTAACAAATTTGGTTGCAAAAAGTAGCTTATTTTTATAATTTTTTTTAGAAAATAGCAAAAAAATAGTTTCAAGAATAAAATTATGGTGATGTTTTGAAACTTATAAAATTATCCTAAACAAACCCTTGAATTAACATCAGTTAAAGGTTTTTAAAGTAGCAGTAGACTTAACAAATTGCTTTATTTGGCTTTGTAGGATCAGCTTGCGGAGCTGGCTCGACACGAGAGAATGGCAATCAATATATCGAACATGTCTAATCTGATTCTTTTTATCGCCAAAGTTTACGCATCGATTTCAAGCAGATCTCTATCTGTGATTGCTTCTTCTCTCGATTCCTTGCTGGATCTTCTCTCTGGATTGATTTTATGGTTCACATCAAACGCCATGAAAAAGCCCAACCAGTACAGATACCCAATTGGCAAAAAGCGAATGCAACCTGTAGTAAGTTCTCTCTCTAGATTCTTAAGCAAAATACTTGTAATATATTCGTAAAAAAATTACATTTTGTTGCTATGCTGTTTTAATTAGTTTTTGTTTGTAATATCTTGAAGTGTTATGTAAAAATTATACTTCTTTGGTTTTTTTTTTTTTTTCAATTTTATGTTGTAGGGAATTGTAGTTTTTGCCTCAGTGATGGCTACCCTTGGTTTCCAAGTAATATTGGAGTCTGGCCAGCAACTTCTTGCGTCGGTATAATTTTGTTTGAACAGTTAATTTGTGTTTATTTGACAGTTTTATTTTGTACACACATAATTATGCCAAAATTGCTTGAGCGTGACATCCTAAGATGTGTAAGTGAGTCAAACCGAGTTTGAGCTACGTCCAACTTGAGCTTGATTAATTAATCCTGTTCAAGCTCAAGCAAGCTCATTTTATAGTTTGAGCCAACTCATAGGGTGACTTGTTTATTATCAACGAGAAGAGGTGATTTTGATTCAAATGCATGCTATATTAAAATGACAAAAAAGAATGAGTTAATAGAAGAGAAATTTAAAAAAATTCACTTCATATTAATTAATTATAATTTTAAAATATATTTAATGATTTTTATTTAAACTCTTGAATTTTAATATATTCAAAATAATGACTCAAATCAGGACTAGTTCAAAACTTTGACTTGTTTACTTATCAAGTTTAGTTAGCTAGGCATTTTGTTTGGTATGACTCATATACCATATAAGGGACAGATGTTAGAACGGAGCGGAGCGGAAGAATGTGTCCAATCGGGAGAGTTTCGTTATGTGAGTTGGGAGTGCGGGGACAACGCCCCGCGGTACGGTACAGAGATAATTTTGTAATTACATATTCTACTTAGGGTTTACTCTAGAATTATAAATAGACTTGTTTGTAACACTAGGTCTATATCCCGTATTTTGTAATTCTTTTCTGAGATTGAAGGAAAGCCACCGCTCTGCTCTCGAGGACATAGACATTTTTGTCAAACCTCGTTAAATCTCTGTGTATTCTTCTGGATTTGAGTCGATTTATATTTTTCTTCGCCCTAATTTCTCAATAAGTGTTATCCAAAGAATTTTTTTGCGCAAGAAGATGATTCGGCAATTTTGGCTTCGGGGAAGTTTGGCAAGGGCTTCGTTTTCGGAATCGCGGCTTTCAAGGAAGGAGGTTCGTGTGTTACCGCGAACAGGCTCGATGATCTGCGAATAAAGATTCGCGGCAGTTCGGATCGGCATAGAAAGATTCGGCTAGGACCTCAGAGAGCTCGCGATCGCGGCAGATAGGAGAAACAGTTTGCGCATCATGTGGGAAGAAGTTCGGGCAGTTTGCGGCAGTTTCAGCGAGGCAGCGACGCGACTAGGCTTCGGTCGGCAAGGATTTCAGCGATTCGGTATGAAGAGTAGCGGGATTCGTGAATCGCGAATCGTGGCAACTTGCGACGCACACGACAGCGAGAGAAGTTCGCGACTTCCAGGAATTCAGGCAGATTTGCATCGCGAGCAGTTGGGTGAATTGAGAAGGCTGCAGAGGAAGGGAATCATGAAAGAAATTTTTTTGTTAAAATTGTTTTTCTGAAAACTTAATTAAGAGAAATACTTAATTAAAGAAAATTTAATTAAGAAAACTTATATAAGGAAATATTTCAATCCTTTTTTCGGAAAGATTTGTTTTAAACGAACTTAATTAAAATTTTTGGCTTCAGCAATTTTGTAAATTTAGCAGAGAAATTTGCAGAAGAATTCGTTGCATGATCAATTTCAAATGACAATTTATGATGCAAAATTCGAGGTGGTGAAGTTTGATGGAACTGATAACTTTGGATTGTGACAAACAATGATCAAAGATTTGTTGACGCAACAAGAGATCTTGAAGGTTTTTCAGGCAACGAAACCAAATGTCATGGAGGATAAAGATTGATAAGAATTGCAATAGCAAGCGGCAACAACCATACGCGTGTACCTGACAGATGATCTTATGTATCATGTGATGAATCTAAAATCTCCAGGGAAGGTATGGAAGAAATTGAAAACTCAATTTATGTCTAAATCTTTGACGAACAAATTGTATCTGAAGTAAAAATTGTATGGGCTGAAGATGCAATAAGGTTTTGATCTGGCGCAACATGTAGATAACTTCAATCAAATAATCACAGATTTATCACGGTTTGATATGAGTATTGAAAATGAAGACCGAGCAATGATTTTATTGTGTTCACTGTCTTCTTCCTATGAACACTTGGTGACTACTCTTACATTTGAGAAAGAAACTTATCAAAGTTGCTAATATTACTGTAGCATTATTGACTCACAACTAACGAAAGTAGAATGCAGAGGAAAGCTCTCAGGATCGTGGAAGAAATAAAGAAAATGAGGGTTCTTGAAGGTGAAATTTCATATCAAAGTCTAAAGACAAAAATAATTCATTGCTATAAGTGCAATGAGTTGGGTCATATGAAGAGAGATTGTCCAAAGCTTAACATACAGACTGAGGAGAAAGGTGATGCATCATCGAAATCTGTAAATATGGTGCAAAGTGATAATTCAGATTGCAGTGATGGCGATATGTTTTCAGTTTCATTAACTCAGTTCATGAATGCATTAATTCTTGATTCAGAGTGCTCTTATCACATAACACATAACAAAGAGTGATTTACTTCATACAAGTTAATTAATTATGGCTCAGTCTATTTAGGTGATGATAGATGTTGCAATATTGTTGGTATTGGTGAAGTTAGAATTTAGATATATGTTGACACTGTTAGAACATTATGTGATGTTAGAAATATTCCAGATCTGAAGAAGAATTTGATTTTCATGGGCACGTTACATAGAAATTGTTTTATTACTAAGGTAGATGAGAATAGGGAAACTATCAGAATTGTTAAGGGTGCACTGACTGTAATGAAAGGAAAGCTAAATGCATATACTATCTACAAACTATTGGGGTGTACAATTGTTGGTGGAGTCCATTCTATGGAGTCAGATGATGATAGTACAAAGCTATGACATATGTGTCTGGGTCATCTTAATGAACGTGGGATGACGGAATTGCATAGAAAAAACATGTTGCATGGTATTAAAAACAGCAAACTCGATCTTTGTAAGTTCTGTGTTCTTTGAAAACAGACTAGTCAGTTTTATAACTAAAAAATACAAAACTGAAGAGATTCTTGATTATGTGCATTATGATGTACGGGGCTCTACCAGGGAATCGTCATTGGGAAAATCTCAGTATTTTGTTACATTTATTGATGGTTTATTCAGGAAAGTTTAAGTGTATTTTTTGAAACAGAAATTCGAAGTATTCTTTAAATTTAAGTTGTGGAAAGCTGAGGTGGTGAATCAAACTGACAGAAAGATTAAAGTATTTAAGGTTTGATAATAACACGGAGTGCAGAGATTCACAGTTTCAGAAGTTCTGTGAGGAGCATGAGATTCAGAGACATTTTTCACTGCATAAGACAACACAACAGAACGGTGTTGCAAAAAGGATGAACATGTTCTTAACTGAAAGGACAAGATGCTTGAGACTGAATGCAGTGTTTTCTAAGAGTTTCTGGGCAGAAGCTTTGAATATGACATGTTATCTCGTCGATAGATCATCTCGGGCATCATTAGGTGACAAGGTCACAGAAGAGGTATGGATAAATAATCTAGTTCATTTCGATCATTCACAAATTTTTGGTTGTTTTGTTTATGTGCATGTACCTGGAGATGAAATATCAAAACTTGATGCAAAATTCAAAAAGTGCATCTTTCTAGGTTACAAGAAAGGTGTGAAAGAATACAAGTTTTGAGATCCGATTGCAAAAAAGAAGGTGATTAGTAGAGATGCAGTCTTTGATGAACAGTCTATGTTGCAGCTGAATCAAAATAAGGTGTCAGATAACAGTTACAGTTCAGATGCAGTGCAAATAAATTTAGAACAGCATCCAAAAACAACTGAGAAAGTTGAAGGTTCAAATCCAACACCTGGTGATTTCATTCCAAATTCAGATTTCATTCCAAATGATCTGCAGAATTACAATCTAGCCAGAGATAGACAGAGACGCACCAATATAAGAACTCCTAGCAGATTGAGTTATGAAAATTTGGTCTTTTGTGCACTTTTCATCAGCAGCGATGATCTAACCACTTTTTAAGGAGCTATCACTAACAATGAGAAAGAGAAATTGATGGGTGCAATGGTTGAGGAGATATAGTTTTTGCAGAAAAATCACACATAATAGCTAGTTCAGCTTCCCGAGGGAAAGAAGACTATTGGGTGTACTTGAGTGTTCAAAAGGAAACCAGCTGTATCAGAAAAAGAAGGGGAAAATTTCAAGACTCGACTGGTAGCAAATGAATTTTCACAGCAGAATGAGATAGATTATGATAAAATTTTTTATCCTGTGGTCAGACATAGTTCAATCAGGACAGTGCTTGCATTAATTACTATTTGAGATTTGCATTTGAAGCAGATGAATGTTAAAACTACATTCTTGCATGGTGATTTAGAGCAGTCAGAGGGATTCACTCAACCTGGACAGAAGCATCTGATTTGCAGATTAAAGAAATTGTTGTATGGGTTGAAGCAGTCTCCAAGACAATGATACAAGCGGTTTGACTCATACATAATTCAAATTGGCTACAAGGGATGTAAGTATGATTGTTGTGTTTATGTGTAGAGTCTTGATGATCGATTTTTTTTTACTGCATGTTGATGATATATTGATTGTTGTAAAGAATATGAAGTTCGTGGTTTGAAAGCTTTGTTGAGTCAGGAATTTGACATGAAAAACTTGGGTCATACGAATAAAATTCTTGGAATGAAGATTCATCGAGATAGAAATTCAAGACGATTATGTTTATCTCAACGAGACTTTGTTGAGAAAGTGATTGAGAGGTTTGAGATGAGCAAAGCAAAGCCTGTGAGCGCTCCATTGACAAATTATTTTAAGTTTTTTTCAGAACAGTGTCCTAAGACATACAAAAATCGAAGACATGACAAAGGTTTCATATGTCAGTGCAGTTGTGTTTAATGTATGCAATGATATATACTCGTCCTGATTTGACTCATGTTGTTAGTCAAGTCTGCAAATACATGGCTAAAGCTAGAAGACGACATTGGGAAGCAGTCAAGTGAATTTTCAAGTATCTGAAGGGTATCGTAGAACATGGAATTATTTTTGGCAGTCAGCAAAATGATCCTTCAGTTATGGGATACGTTGATTCAGACTATACAGGTTATTTGGATGACAGAAAGTCTACAACTGGGCATGTGTTTACTATTGGTGGAAGGCCTATATGTTAGAAATCAACAATTCAGTCTATTGATGTGTTTACTATTGGTGGAAGGCCTATATGTTAAAAATCAACAATTCAGTCTATTGTGATATTATCTACAACTGAAGCTGAGTACACGACAGTAGTTGAAGCTGCAAAAGAAGTTTTATGGCTTATATACCATATAAGGGACAGATGTTGGAACGAAACGGAGCGGAGCATAGCGGAAAAATGTGTCCAATCAAGGGAGTTTTGTTATGTGGGTTCGGGGTGCGGGGGCAACGTCTCACAGTACGATACAGACGTAATTTTGTAATTATATATTATACTTAAGATTTACTCTAAGTTTATAAATAACTTTGTTTGTAACCCTAAGTATATATCCCGTATTTTGTACTTCTTTTCTGAGATTAAAAGAAAGTCGCCGCTTTGCTCCCGAGGATGTAGACATCTTTGTTGAACCTCATTATATCTTTATATGTTCTTCTAGATTTGTGTCGATTCATATTTTTCTTTGCCCTCATTTCTCAACACATTTATCAAACCAAGCCCCACTTTAACTCACGAGTCAGCTTAGCTCGCTTACACTGTCATCTTAAGATACTTTGAAAATCATGACACAAACTTATTGGGAAGTTTACATACATACCACACATTTTTTTATTTATTTACATATCTAACAACTAAAGTTTGATATTTCTCAAATCATTGACAAAAGAATTATTAATCTATGCCTGAATTGTGTATTTCACTTTTAAAAAGTTAATGATAGTTGTATTTTTATTGCGATCTCAAAGTTTTGAATATTATGTATGTAACTATGAAATTTAGGTGTCAAGAATGTAATCATGTGAGAAATGTGTGGTATTTATGTAAATGCCGCCAAACTTATCCCGTGCAGCTCTGATCATTTATTATGTTTCAGAATCATTTTTTAACTGTTGAACAATGTAGCTCATCTCTAACAGCACCTTGTTTCTGCTAATTTATTTTGCTGACTTGATTTTGTTATAAAAATCTAAATTATGTGCTTAAAATCATTAATTCTATTTTTGCAGTCCCACTCTTTACTGGATGGTTCAAAGTTGAGCTGGATCGTTGGAATTATGGCTTCTGTAACAATTGTAAAATTCGCGCTGATGATCTATTGCCGCAGCTTCAAAAACGAAATTGTGAGAGCTTATGCGCAAGATCATTTCTTTGATGTTATCACCAACTCCATTGGTTTAGCTACTGCTGTTCTAGCTATTAAAGTCTACTGGTGGATCGACCCTGCAGGAGCTATTCTGGTAAGTAGGAATTTTCTCTCTTTTAGTTTTTGTTTGGAAGATCTACATACATACCACTTAATTTTTTTGTATTTACATATCTGACACCTAAATTTCAACTTTTACATATATGTCGCTGCCGCATATATACACCCTCAGCTATGCATGAAAATGAGCATTTTAATTTTTAAAAATTAAAATAGTGGTATTTTTTTATGTGATATGAAAGATTTGGGTGGTATAAATGTAAAAAAGAGCATAGTTTTAGATGTTAGATATGTAAATGCATATGAATTGGGAGGTATGGTATGCATGTAAATGCCCCTTTTTTTGGTTGAAATTTTCTTTTTGTTCATAATTAACCTTATTTTAACTCTTATGCTGTTCTTAGTCCTACAATTCTGCATGTTCTGTGAGAAAATTGGCTGATTGTCTGATAATAGTATTGTTAAGTTTGTTTAATGAACCATTTTGATAGATAGAATTGTTTATTGGTAAATTTATGTGCATGCCACACAGTTCTTATGTATTTACACATCTAACACCGAAAGTTTTATATTTGCACTTATCATACTTTGGTTTTATAAGCATATGCATGAAAAATGTATTTTATTTTTAAAATGATAGTGATGGTGATACTTTTGATGTGATGGTAAAATTCGAGTGGTATATTTGTAAACCTTCCTGATTGATTTCTACTTTCTCCTGCAGATAGCACTGTACACAATAAGCACCTGGGCAAAAACTGTGCTAGAGAATGTGTGGTCATTGGTGGGCAGAACAGCGCCCCCCGATTTCTTGGCGAAGTTGACTTATCTCATCTGGAACCATCACGAAGAAATCAAGCACATCGACACGGTTCGAGCCTACACGTTCGGATCGAATTATTTCGTCGAGGTTGACATCGTGCTGCCCGGAAACATGCTGTTGAGCCAAGCTCATGATATTGGTGAGACACTTCAGGAGAAACTGGAGCTGTTGCCTGAAGTCGAGAGAGCCTTTGTGCATGTGGATTTTGAGTTCACTCATAGGCCCGAGCATAAAACCAAGGGTTGAATAGCGAAATACTGATTTTTTAAAAATACGATTTTTAACATCTGGAATAATGCAAAAAGTGAGGAACATGATAGTTTTCTTGTTTATAAAAATTGATCTTAAATTTGTAATTTATGTTGTCCTTAAAATCACATAGCTGCATGGATACATGTGAAGAAAATGTTTGCATTAAAGAATAGGAAGATGTTACATACATGCCACTCTATTCTAATGAATTTACATATCTATCCGCTAAATTTCAACCATTTTATCTATGCATGGAAAAGTGTATTTCATTTTTTTTTCAAGTTAAAATGATGATATTTATATAATATTAATCTATACATACATAAAATACTTAAATGTTTGTTACAAATTGAAGGTAAGTATTAACCAAATTAGGGAAATTTTCATACGTGCCACACATTTCCTATGAATTTACATGTCTAACTTTTAATTTTTTGCTTATGTGCCATCTATTATGAAACTTATAAATTAGTTGGTACTCGAGGATGAGTCATCTAGGAGGAGAGGACCCCCATCTCATCCAATTATTCATTACTTTTTAAAAGTTAAAATGATGATAACTTTGATGTGAAATTAAAGACTTATGTGTTATATATATATATATATTCTTGATTCAG